TCTCCCTCCTCCTCCCCCTGCCCTGTGCCTCGCGGGGCCCAGAGCCCCTGTCTCAGGTGCTTCACGCCAGCCTCCTTGAGGTGGGGGCCTCCTGCCTGCCCTGCCCTGCCCTGCCCTCTCCCAGGCCGGGCCGGGCCTCTTCTGCCTGGAGGAGGGGGGGGGGCGATGCCTCTGCAGACCCTTTCTCTTGCCTGTCTGCTGCCCAGCTAGGCAGCTGACCCACCTCCCTGGCCGTGGCTCCGGGCTCTGATCCTGGGATGCTGTCTGGTAAAGGGTTAGAGTCAGGCACACAGCCTGGTAGTCAGGGTGGAGGCAGGTCTGGCAGGCATCGGGGGCAAGGATCACGTGGGAAGCATGAGGGAGACAGGTGGCCATCCTGGAGGAGGTGAGGGGCCCAGGTCGACAGGGAGCCAGGGGGAAGGCCAGCACCAAGAAGGCCTGGTGGAAAATGGCACCTGCCCACCCACACGGGAGAGTGGGCCTGATGCTCGGCCCTTGTCCCGGGACCACTGTGGGAGGACCTGTCCCTGTGCCCTCTGTCTCTGGTCGCTCAGCCAGTCACTGCTGGTTTCCTTTTTCTTCCAGGGTTTTCGCACCAAAATGTGCCTCCTGTGCCCGTCCTATCCTCCCTGCACAGGTAGGAAGCAGTCGCCGGCCCAGTTTTGGGCCACGATGGGAGGGAAGAGCGGCCGCTGTGGCTCTTAACCTCAGAGGCATGGGGGCTGTCCGTTGGCCCATGCCCCGTGGGGGCAGGTGCCCCTGGCATGAGTCAGCAGGACATGGTGGCTCTGTCACCCAGCACTCCGCCTACGCCCCAGCCCCATGCTCCACCACTGGGCTGATCGCTGGGTCTGCTCAGCTGTGCAGGCCGAGGGTGGGGGGGCTGCAGATGAGCACGGGCCCTGCCCGGGGCTCTGGGTCTACCCACACATGCTGGTTGTTGTCAGGAAGCAGGCGTGGACGTAACACCGCAGCGCCCACCCAGCTCTCACATGTGCTGTCGGCTGTGACCAGGGAAGGTGCCCCAGGGGCAGGTGCAGCATGGTGTGCGCCTACCAATGCCCGGTCCAGGCCCAGTGTCAGGGCTCACCTGAGAGTGAATGCCCAGCTGCCGTGCTGGGACCCCGTTGTGCAGCGTGGCTCGCACAGCGCCGCTCACCCCGAGTCCTGCGTGCCTGTTGTGTGTGAACCCGTGTGTCCCCACAGGGCTGTGAGACGACCATCCGTGTGGTGTCCATGGACAGGGACTACCATGTGGAGTGTTACCACTGTGAGGTAAGCCTGATGGCCCTGCCCGGCCTCCTCCCTCCGTGGCCCGGGGCTGCCGCCCTCCGCCCCAATCCTCCTCCTGCTCCATGGCATCACCTCCGTCCTGCCTTTCCCTTCCCTTCCCAGCGGGCCCTGTCCCTTCTGCCCAGAGTGTGTCCTCTCAGCCCCTGTTTCCTACTCACTGACTGCCCCGTGTGTGAGGCACCGGGACACGCAGAGAACAGACAGGCCCCGTAGTCAGGGAAAGCCATGTCCACACGGTGCTGCGTGCTGTTACTGGAGGGCTGATGGAGCACAGGGGCCTTGGAAAAGCAAGGATGGCTTTCTGGAGGAGGTGACTGACTCAAGCTGAGACTGACGGCTGAATAGGAGGTAGCTGGGGAGGCGGTGAGAAGGGCCTGACTTGGCGGTGGAAGCAGCAGGTCCTGGGGAGGTGTGGTGTCCTGTTGCTGGAGGGGCGTGCGGGAGCTGAGTGGGACTTTGCCCCGGGGGCAGGGGAGCACCGTCAGAAAACACCGCAGGATTGCATGTGGATCTCAGAAAAAGGTTCTTCGCTCCCTGCAGGCACTGAGTCGGAGGAGAGGGCACTGCCGGGGGGGGGGGGGCCGGGACACCGTGGTTCTGGGTCAGGGGAAGGGTTGGACAGGATCTGGTGAGTGGACGTGGGAGGTGGGGGCTAGGGGTGCCCGTGATGGGGGTGACGGGGAGCGGATGAGGTGCTCGAAGCTGCAGACATCCCAGTTGGGAGGTCTGGGGCTCAGAGACTCTGCTGATGGATGCGGGAGCTTGGGGGTCGTGGGCAGGTGGGCCCCTCCCCACTGGCACTGACCCCCAGCTCTCGGCAGTCCGGGAAATCCCCGCAGGCGGCAGGTCAGGGCAGCTGCACGGCTCCTCTCATTGGCTACCTTCTCTTAAAGATGTTGTTTTAAAGATTTAGTTATTTAATGTGTTTGAAAGGGAAAACAATAGATCAGTCTTCCATCTGTTGTTTCACTCCCCAAATGGCTGCAACGGCTGGGGCTGGCCCAGAGAGAAGCCAGGAGCCTGGAACTTCATCCGGGTCTCCCAGTGGGTCATCCTCCACTGCTTCCCGGGCCATAGCAGGGAGCCGGAGCAGAAGTGGAGCAGTGGGATTTGAGCTGGGGCTCGGATCCGGGATGCCGGCGTCCCAGCCGTGGCCCACCGTGTTGTGCTGTGAGGCTGACCCCACTCTGAGATGACCAGCCTGCCTCGCTTCCATTGAGCGGCTGAGAGTCACGCGGCTGGCTGTGTTCTCATCGCGGAAGGCGGGAGGTGACGTCCAGCTCCTGCGGCTCCTTCATGGCAGGGTGCAGCTGGGGGCGGGGGTCTTCCAGAGAGGGCACGCAGGGGCAGAGGGCCCGGGGTGCCCTGACAACACGGATATTTAGGGGACGGCTGGAGGCGAGGCGGCCACGGAGAGGAGGACGGGCGAGAGGGGGTTGGGTCACCGAGCCCAGGAGGGAGAGAACCGACGAGGATGCCGGGTGGGGGCAGAGGAGGAGGGTGGGGAACAGCGGGGCTCCAGTCCCCCCCGACCCCGTGCAGTCACGGCCTCTGCGCCTCTGCCCATGCAGCTGTCCTGTGCACTGCCCTGTCCCCTCGGGGTGGCCAGGCACACTCCTTTCAAGAGGTTGATGCTGAGGGCCTGGGAGCAGCTGGCTGCTGGTGGTGCTGGCGCCCCCCGGGGACCCCTGCGTGGGAGCTGGGGTCTGCAGGCCGCTTTGCCCTCTCTCTGTCCTGTGGTCACAGTTTGCAGTCAGGAGAGCCTGGTGGACACTTGATGGGCACCCCCTGGAGGACCCTCCTTTGGGGTGCTCCTCCCCTTCGTCTTCTGCTGCTCCAGGGCTCAGCCGGTGGTCCTTCCCTGCTGAGTTGGGGGAACGCCCTGCTTCAGTTAAGGACCTCGGCGTGGCGGCCTCTTGTCCACTTTCCCTGCCCGGCGCCGCCCGCAGATGCCTGGCCGGTGTGCACTCTGTCCAGCCGGGCGTGTGCCCCAGGGCCCTGAGCCTCCCTCGGAGGCGTGGCCGGGGGTGGTGACAGCCGCAGTCCTCGCTGTGTCCGGGGACTGTGACTGCCCAGCCCTGCGCCCACGAGCCCTCGTCCGCTCCCTCCTCACTCGGGGCCCCGGGTTGTGCTCTCCCCTAGGACTGCGGGCTGCAGCTGAGCGGGGAGGAAGGACGCCGCTGCTACCCCCTGGAGGGCCACCTGCTGTGCCGCCGCTGCCACCTGCGGCGCCTCCGGCCGGGCCCGCTGCCCTCGCCCGCAGTGCACGTCACAGAGCTCTGAGCAGGGCTGTGGAGGAAGGGCTGGCCGGGGCCCAGGTCCCTGTCATGGCGGGCCTGGCCGCCTCCACCCCACACTGCTCCCCACACCCCCAGCTGCTGTCCTGTCCGCGGGGGCCGGCCCCCCGCGGTGAAGCTACTTCTATTTATTCACCGTTTGTGCCTCCTCCAGTTGCTTTCCTCTGGGACCTGCTGTCTCCCCCCGCCCCCATGGCCGGCTCTCCTGAGACCCCCGCATGCCCCCTGCAGACATGGGTGACGGGCAGCGGCCTCAGCCCAGCCCCCGTGGCCTCCCTGTTCAGAGGGAGCCTGGGGCCCTGGATGGATGGCCCTGCATTTCTGGGGTGTCTCTGAAAGCAGGGGGCGGTGGGCGGCACGTGTGTGTGCGCGCGTGTGTGCATGTCGGCTGGCCGTGGGTGCCTTGTTTGGTACTGGGGGCCCGGCCTGTGGGCGCTGTGGGATTCAGCCTTGTCAGCCACAGTTCCCACCCCGCTGCTCACTCCCCTGGCCCCGACTGGGGGGCTGTGCCCCCCCAACGCCTGGCCAAGACGCACCTGCCCCGCAGAGTCCCCGCCGGCCCCGGGTCTGGGTCCGGAGGGAGCTCGAGGCCGGGAAAGCCCCCGGCCGTGTGCACTGGGTCCTGGGCGCCACAACAAAAGGATAGGATCTGACTTAAATTAAGTTCTCATGCGAGGAGATTTTCATTTTCTTAAAAAGAATATAGTTTTCTTCTAAGAACTTGGGCCAAGGTTGTTGTTCCTGAAGAAAGCCACCATGCACTCATGAGCGTCCGACTTGTGGGGCCCGTGGCCGACGTGCAGACGGCAAGAACGCCGCGCTCGGTATTTTTGTATAAATGCCTCCAAAATCCCGGTGTGTGTCTGCCTCTCAGACTCCAGGCTGCGTGTGTCTGCGCGCGTCACCGCCTCACAGCCATGGCAAATACAGCGCCACTGGGTGCGGGCCCCAAGGGACTTGGCTTGTGGGCGGGACCTGGCCGGGAGGAGCCCTCAGCGTGGTTTTCACGGGAAATTGTGCCCGAAGTCTGCCCTGCCCCCTGTTGGTTACGGCTCTTGCCCACCCCCACCCCCGCCCCCCGCCGAGGCTGATCTCCAGGGGTGCGCAGACACAAGAAGTTCTCACCTGGAGTGGAAGCTGGGTCCTGTCCAGGAGGTGAGCAGGGCTTCAGGAGAGCCCTGGTGTGGGGGGGAACTGAGCGTGTGTGCAGGAGTGGGGGTAGCGCAGCTCTGGAGGACTGGCCCCCATGCTGTGTGGCCATGGGATCCGTGTCCGCCTTGGGAGGGGAGCGTGTGTGCACACTTGCCCTGGGGGACCGTGCAGACCGCAGGGAGCAGGCCTGGGGGGACTCCACGATGGGAGAGTGTGACCTGCTGTGGGGTCGGGGGGAAGCTCACCAAGTCCCTGGTTTCCGGAGAGACCCCAGGGAGTGTCTGGGGCCCTGGAGGCCTGGCTGCTCTCCTTCCATCCATGTGGGCTGCCCTCCAGAAGCCTGGGGGTGGTCACAGTGGGCTTCTGCAGCCCTGCGAAGAGGCTGGCCCTAGGGGACAGGGGTCCCCCTGCGCCTCCCGGGGCTGCAGCGCCAGGTCCTGGCACAGCTGGTGTGCGGGGGGAAGTGCTCAGCAGGGCTGTGTGCCTGGCGCATGCTCACCTGTCCCCCAGCCAATCGTCCCCACCCCGACGCCCCACCCAGTGTGTTCTCCATCTGCTGTGCAGATGTCCCTGCCCGGCCTGCTGCAGACTCGGCTGGCTCACAGGGCAGCCCGGGAGGCGGGCGGGGTCAAAGGACCCTTGGGCTCTCCCACCTGAGAGCGCTTTGGGGAGAGGAGCGGCCCGGCCCTGTGGTTTTGGGAGGATGGCGGGCACTGGTGGGAAGACGTGGGATTGCACCTTCCTCTCCGTGGGGACAGGGTCTGTGACTGCAGTGGCCACAGCTGGCCCAGCCCACTGCCCAGCATCTGGCTCCGAAGGAGCAGGTGAGTGCTGGTGAGATGACGCGGTCATAGCGGTCACTGGCGAGTGTGGATACACCGCTCAGGCAGGGTGAGCCCCTGCCCCGCCTTTGGAGAATGAGTACGGTGTGTGGTGCCTCTGTGTCCAGCTGGCGTGGGCCCTGCGTGGGACGGCGGGGCGTGTTGCAGAGGGGGACACGGGATCAACACAGGGGCCGCAGTGTGAGGTCCCCGCAGCGGGGCGAGCAGGTCAGCCTGCCTCTGAGTCGGGCCGCTGCTCGAGCTGCAGGCCCTCTCTGCCCAGGGCCCCAGGGCACGTCCACGTTGGGCGGGTGCCCAGGGCCTGGTCTTCAGCCTGAGGAAACGTGGCCTCACTCCTTGCACCTCCTCAGGCATGAGCTCGTTGGCCACGGTTGGCCTGGGCCTCCCTGCCGCCGGCACAGGGGGAGGCTCCCGCATCACTACCCCTCCCCACACGCTGCACTCCGGAGCCGAACTCCCCCTCCCCGGCCCGTGGAGCCACCGTCTGCTTTTTCTTTTCCAATTTTACATTCACGAATGTCTATACAAGCGCCTCAGAAACCCTGTGGGAAAAAGGCGAAGTAAAAAGACATTTATTTTGATGCAAAAAAATTTGAAATCACGTAGTTTTTCATAGCACATGTTTTTTCCACGAGCTTTTTTTTTTTTTTTTTTTTTTTTTTGACAGGCAGAGTGGACAGTGAGAGAGACAGAGAGAGAAAGGTCTTCCTTTGCCGTTGGTTCACCCTCCAATGGCCGCCGCTGCAGCCGGCGCACCGCGCTGATCCGATGGCTTTTCCTGGTCTCCCATGGGGTGCAGGGCCCAAGCACCTGGGCCATCCTCCACTGCACTCCCTGGCCATAGCAGAGAGCTGGCCTGGAAGAGGGGCAACCGGGACAGAATCCGGCGCCCCGACCGGGACTAGAACCCGGTGTGCCGGCGCCGCAAGGTGGAGGATTAGCCTATTGAGCCACGGCGCCGGCTTCCACAAGCTTTTTGAAAACCGGGTATATGCATGGATTTCAAAAACTTGTCTTTTAATTCCACTTTTATTGTGAAAAGTATTTTAAGACAAATAGAAAACTGAGCAAGTTTCACTTAGCAAAGTACACCCCAAAGGAAGTCACAGTACAAAGAACGTTCTAAGTCAGGCCTCACCAATCCCCACAGTATTAGCATCGTGCCACAACTCTCAAAACGGACTTTTCGAAAGCTGGACTTAACCTAAAAGATTTCAGGGGCCGGCGCTGTGGCATAGTGGGTTAAGCTGCCGCCTGCCATGCTGGCGTCCCTTATGGGCGCTGGTTCGAGTCCCAGGTGCTCCACTTCCGATCCAGCTCTCTGCTGTGGCCTGGGAAAGCAGTAGAAGATGGCCCAAGTCCTTGGGCCCCTGCACCCACGTGGGAGACCCGGAAGAAGCTCCTGGCTCCTGGCTTCAGGTCGGCGCAGTTCCAGCTGTTGTGGCCAATTGGGGAGTGAACCAGCAGATGGAAGACCTTCCCTTCTCTGCCTCTCCTTCTCTCTCTCTATAACTCTGCCTTTCAAATAAATAAATCTTTAAAAAAATAAAATAAAAACCCTAAGATTTTAAATGAAAATAGAAACTAGAATGAACAAACACGAGAGATGTCTCTCTGAACTGGGAGATCCAGCACTTTGAGTTTCCCAGAAAAGTCTCCCTAAGGCGTGCGTGTGCCGTGGTGTGGCGGGGGACCTCTACATGTTACTTGGGAAAGGCGGGAAATAATTTTAGTTTACTCAGAAAAGTCTGCATAAGAAAACTCTTTAAAGAGGTCATTCTTCAATCCGGATTTCACAAACTTCTGGTGCAGAAGGGTCCCACCAGCTTCCTCTAGGGCAGTAACTGCTCTCCCCGGCTCGCTGGCTGCCCTGTGGAAATTTGAAATAACTCGAATGCTTTTACAACACTGGTCACGCCCGCCCTGCTGTTCTGACCGCCGTCACCAGCGCCGTGACAGCCACTCAGCGACCAGCTCTCCCGCCGCCACGGGTGCCTGGCCTGCCTCCCCTGGCTGACCTCGGCTGTGGGTTCAGGAAGGGTTCTGTGTGTGCGTGCTGCCCGCTGGCACCACAGTGCTGCACACTGCCGCCACAGCGCCCTCGTGGGCGGCCAGCTCCACCGTCCCTCTCCCATCCGGGCCGGTCTCAGTGTGCACTCTCGGTGGGTTAAGTGCAGAGTCGTGGGTGTCGCTCTCGGTCGCTGTGTGTGGCAGCCCTCTCGCGTGGACGCCGTGGCCGGGGGTACTCTGCACCGCGACCCCACTGTCTGTGTCTGTGGTCGTACATTCCTGAGTGGTGAAGCCGTAGCGACAGCTGCAGCCGCACGGCACCAGTTTCCCTCCGGGCCGTGCCAGGCCGGCCGCTGAACAGACCTGAGCTTCCGGGAGGATCTGACGGGGACCTCGCTCCCGCCTGACTGCGCTGGTGCACCCCAGCGCGTCTGCGCCCTGCTCTCTCCCTGGGCTTCCCCAGCGCCCTCTCTGCCAGCTCCTGAGAGGCAAACCGCGCCAGGCCTCCCCTTGACCTCGCCCTGGGGAGCCACAGGCATCGTGATCCCGTTTGGCAGCATTTCCGACTGCGAGAAAACCGATTTCTTCCTTTGTGCATGGAACGCGAGTCCCCGAAGCCGCAGGAAGCATCATGAGTGGTGTCGGCGCTGTTTGGACCGCGGTGCCTCACCCAGTCCACCTCGGCTCTGAGCCTGGGACACCTCAGTGAACCCGTGCCCCGTGCTCGCCCTGTCTCTTCAGGGCCGGTTTTACCTCATCTTCTGATTCAAGTTCAACAGACACCTCTGCACTCTGCCCGGCATCTCTAGTGCTGACAAAACCGACACCCGCGAGCGCACACACACTGTGCAGCCAGGCGTGCTCTGCGATAGGGCAGGACCAGGGCAGGCCACAGAGCCGTAATTCCACTTTCTGTGAACCTGACCGAGACAGAGCGGACTTCCACCCACTGGTTCCGCGCCCCCCCCCCTTTTTTTAGAGAGATTTATTTATTTATTTGAAAGGCAGAGTTACAGAGAAGCAGAGAGAGAGAGAGATCTTCCATCCGGTGGTTCACTTCCCTAAATGGCTGCAATGGCCAGAGCTACGAAGCCAGGAGCAGGTGCAGGGGCCCAAGAACTTGGGCCATCTTCCACAGCTTTCCCAGGCCATAGCAGAGAGCTGGATCGGAAGTGGAGCAGCCGGGTCTCGAACTGGTGCCCATATGGGATGCCAGCACTGCAGGCAGCCACTTTACCTGTTACGCCACAGCGGGGTCCCTGGTTCACTTTCCAAATGACTGCAACAGCTGGGGCTAGGCCAGACTGAAGCCAAGAGCCAGGAGCCCCACCCAAGACTCCCACACAGGTGGCCTCCCAGGCTGTGTGTTAGCAGGAAGCTGGGTGGGAGGTGGAGGTGGGTGTCCCGAGCAGCTTAAACCCACTAGGCCACAGAACCTGCCCCTCCAGGTATTCTCACCACGTGTACACATGTAACTCAATTTTTCCCTAGAACTTTTGATGTATGTTTGTACATATTGGTGCAGCCAGCTTAGGCAATACCGTGTGCTTCCTTGTTCTTTCTGGCCCGGAGAGTTCGCATTCTTTTGCCAAGACGCCGGCAGTGGGGCTGCAGGTCTGGGTTCAGGGTCTCGTCGTTGAGCTCCTGTGCAGATGCAGATGAGGCTTGTGGGATGCAGGACACCTGGAACTGAAGGGACACGGCCTCTGCCTTTTTTTCTTTTAAGATTTATTTATTTATTATTATTATTATTATTATTTTTACAGGCAGAGTGGACAGTGAGAGAGAGAGACAGAGAGAAAGGTCTTCCTTTGCCGTTGGTTCACCCTCCAATGGCCACTGCGGCTGGCGCGCTGCGGTCGGCACACC